TGGCCTCTGCCTGGCTGGGGGAGAAGGGGAAAGGTGCCACGTGAGCCCTGTGTGGCCACTGCAAGCCTGCTACCCCCTCCTCCTGCAGTCACTTCCCCTGCAAGGGAGCCCTATGCATGCCTTGTCTGCCCCGAGTGCAGTGACATCTGTCTCTTCCTGATTCCTTCCCTCTCCCTGTTTCCTTCCAGCTGTCTGTCCTTTGGACGCTTTCTTCTCTTGCATTTGCTCCCTCACTGCCACGTGAGCCCTGTGTGGCCACTGCAAGCCTGCTACCCCCTCCTCCTGCAGTCACTTCCCCTGCAAGGGAGCCCTATGCATGCCTTGTCTGCCCCGAGTGCAGTGACATCTGTCTCTTCCTGATTCCTTCCCTCTCCCTGTTTCCTTCCAGCTGTCTGTCCTTTGGACGCTTTCTTCTCTTGCATTTGCTCCCTCACTGCCGTGCCTGACTTCCATCGCAGCCTTGTTTCTCACGTAGGGACTACGCAGCGGGGGTGAGGGCTGCGTGTGCTGCTTGAGGGGTCAGTCCCTGCACAGGTCAGTTCACAGCACGCAGAGTTTAAACCTTCAGCAAACAGATATCCCAGGCTGGAGCCTGGGATAATCATAAATAATTTTATTTATTAAAAATAAATTTGTTATGTGCACGCATTCTGAAGTCTGTGCATCAGGTGCTTTCTTCTCCTTACTGTCTTTATAATTGCAGCCTCCCTCTAATGCTGGCCTCAGGAATTAGGATCGCTCCTGAATCACAGTGAATGGTCTTCTCACCTTCTTTAACTTGTTCCTGCAGAAGCACCTGGAAGATGCTTTGCAAGCTCGTCAGAAGGAGATGGAGAACTTCTTGCAGAGGAAGCGTGTGGCACAGGAAGATATCTGTGGCCTGATGGTAATGCTGTGTGATACCTGCTTTTTGTACAGCCTCTGGGTTAACGTTCATAGAGGATCTGTGTATCACTTCAGCTACAAGGACAGTCAGTTTCCTGTAAAAATCTAGACGGATCACTTATATGGGGATCTGAACACGCTCCCCTGCATGTAGATGGGAGCCCATCGCTACTGAGCATTCAGTGGAGGCTTTGGGAAGAGGCATTAAGCACTTGTTAATGCAGCGTTTACAGGGTACGTTGGTGCAGCAGAGCCCGGACAGGGTGAGTGGTGGGAGCTGTCAGCTGAGCAGCCTCTTCTAGCCCTGCAGCGCTGCCACTTTGGGAGAGGGTTAATTCTTGGAAGCTCTAAAATCCTCTTGTGTATCTGAAGGGGTGGCAGCAAAGCCAAAGGAGCTGGGTCAGTGACAATGCTGGCACTGCAAAGAGCAGTGGCCTAGTTAGAATGACTGTGTTTGGGTTCACTGCAAAGCTCTGAGATGATGTGAGGAGCCTGAGTGCTCTATGGGCTTGAGTAGCACCTACTTGTCACTGATCAGTGGAACAAGGACAGCTACAGGCTGTCTGCACTTCCTTCTCAAGTGACATAGAAGTATTAAAAGCCAAGGAAGGAGAGTTTAAGGAAAATGGAAGTAGCTCAGAGGTGAGATAAAACTGATGGGAGACTGTCTCTGACTGGAGTCACTGATCCCTCTGCCTGCACTGTTTCGTTACTCTTATCCCACTGCCAGATTTGGAATAGACCTTTGACATTAATGAAGTATTAGCAAATAAGCACATGTGGCTGATGTCCCATTGCAGTGGAAGAGCTGACTAGGAGATGTTTCAAGAGTACAGGAGCAAATTGCTGACCTGAACGGGGAGGCCAGGCATGTCCTTTGCAGTTCTGGTGTGTCAGCACAAGCACCTGCTGGAGCAAAGGGAGGCTGGGGTGCCATGCGTGCTGGTGGAGGTTCAGATATAGCCTGGGGGAGATGGGTTTCCTGCTGGTAGAAAGGGATGTGCATTTCAGGAAGCACTCCTTGAGAAAATAACAAGGGCTAAGGTTGCATTTAGAGATTAAAAGCTTAAAGATTTGGAAAATAGAAAGTCATTGGCTGTCTCGTGTAAACAGGCAGGAAGGCAGAGCGAGCACCACAAGGTTGGCTGGCTGACCAAACAACTGGAAAAAGGTGACCTCTGAAAGAGAAAGAGCTGAATGGGATTTACCAGCCTTATCTACAGAGATTAGTTTGTGCAGCTCCCCCATCTCCACACAAACAACAGTCCTGGGAGATGGAGGCAGCAGAGAAAAAGAAGTTACCAGTGTCAGGCAGCCCTGCCTGGGGGTCTGGCACGATGTGAAATAAATCCTAACCAACCTGAACAGTTGAGTCTGCAGCTCCAGGAAAGCAAAAGAGCTCCAGTCTTACACGCAAGCAAATTCCTGGTGGTGTGGGAGAGGGCTGTGGGTGCCCACTGTGGCTGTATGGAAGGATTTCTGGTTAAGGTGACCAAGCCATTGGTGGAGTTTTTGGGTTTGTTTTTGTTTGGTAGTTTTTGGGTTTGTTTGTTTTTTCCCTTTGGCTCTGCAGCCTTGAAAGCTGTCCTTGTGTCCTGTTCTCCACCCAGAAAGTTGTGGGTATGTCCGAGACTCCTAATTTCCAGGACTCTCTAAGCAGAGTAACAGCTGAGCCATCCTCTGCACCTACTAGTGTGTTTTAGCTGCCAGACTCATCTGCCTTTTCCTTCTCAGAAGGTGTCTGGGGAGCTGAACTTCAAGATCCGGGCAGAGTTTGCCTGCCTTCATCAGATCCTGGAGGAAGAGGAGACAGCTGTGCTGGCAGAGCTGGCCCAAAAGGAAGCACAGTCGCTGGCCCGGCTGCACAGGGACGTGCACGGGCTGGAGGAGGGGATATCAGTGCTGCAGAGGGACGTCGAGCGCATAGAGCACACCCTGAGCAAGATGGAAGAAGTGTCGTTGCTGGAGGTGAGTGTCCTTGGCTGACCCTGGCAGGAGGATGAGGGATGTTTCAGTGTCTGACTGTGGGATGGGAAGAGTCCTACATTTCAGAAATAGGCTGTACCTGGAAGTTGATCTCACTGGCATCCCTCCGGATTATTTGCCCAATCACTTGGAGTCCAAAGACTTTAGCCACAAGGGATATAGTGATCACTCGGATGTGGTGGGTCTCGGGAGCCTTCCTCCTTCTCTGTCACCCCTGTGAAATTGCCTTGGCCCTGGTGCCCAGGCAGTTTCCCCCAGGGTGAGGGTCCTGGTAGGCTGGTTTCCTCTCTCTGTGCTGTGTGGCAGCCCGAGGCAGGACAAGGGGCTTATTTGTGCAGCTGCATGAATTACAGACAGTGACTGCTAATTCTCTCTGCTTCTCACTGCAGGTGGAGAGCCTGGATATCAGGTACGTGACTGGCGTGAAAGAAGCTGATTCCCTTTTCAGGAGCTTATCTCTGTCCCTGGCTGGGACCGCATCGAGGAAGGATCTTATCTCAAGCTTTTAAAGCATCACAAATTGCTCAGTGAGCTGCTGGTGCTGTGCCAGCTGGGGGCTGATCCCCAGCACATGTTGGATGTTCTCGGGGAGCGTGTGTGTCAGGATGGCTGACTGTGCTGGTTTGGAATGGGTGCAAGAGCAATGCATGCTGCAAGCAGGAGCAAGGCTGATGCCATGGTCTTTGGGTGCTTTGGCTTCTCCCTGCCCTTTCTTAGCTTCTTAACAGCTTATGGGGCTGCAGAACCGACCCTGAGGTTCAGGTTTGTCTGAGGCTGTGAGTAGTTGAGGGCCAGAACGACCATAGGGGAGCATGTCCCTGTCCGCCCCCTTGCTGGGCAGAGGTTTGACTGCTGCTCTCTCTGCCCCAGGCCCTCAGTGCGCGTCGAGACCCAGCCTGCTTTTGACCTGGAGCACTACAGGGACAGCCGCAGCGGCCCCTTGCAGTACATCTTCTGGAGACAGATGCTGCGCTCCATCTGTCCTGGTGAGCGGATCGGTGTGAGGGGTGGATGAGCTGGGGGTGCTCTGCAGAGGGAATGCACAGCCGGTAAGATGCCATGTTGGATGTCTCCACAGCTCCTGCCCCCCTCACTTTCGACCCTGAGTCAGCCCACCCCAACCTCGTCTTCTCCAGAGACCTGACAGCAGTGACAGAGAGGAGCCGAGCGCCGCCTGTGCCCGTCAACCCCCGGCGCTTCCGACAGTGCGTCAACGTCCTGAGCTCCCAGACCTTTGACAGCGGCCGGCACTACTGGGAGGTCTGGGTGGGCAGCAAAACCAAGTGGGACCTGGGGGTGGCCGCCGAGGCTGTGGACCGGGCAGCAAAGGTCAAGCTGTGCCCGGAGAATGGCTACTGGACACTGCGCCTGCGGAACAGGACCGAGTACTGGGCCACCACCACCCCCTGGGTGCGCCTGACTCCCCGCCCGCCCCTCCGCACAGTGGGGGTCTTCCTGGACTGCCGGGAGGGCACCGTCACCTTCTTCGACGCTGGGGACATGTCCCACCTCTTCACCTTCCACCGGGTCTCTGCGGAGAGATACTGCCCTTTCTTCAGCACCTGCTTCAGCGACGGGAGCGACAACATGGAGCCCATGCGCCTCTGCCACCTGGCCCTGTGAGGGACGAGGAGGAGCTTTGGGGACACCAGCCTGGCTCCTTGTTCCTGCCGGCTGGCTGCTCCCCAGGACAGGAGGCCAGTCTGCACACATGAGGGTGTTGGAGGGGCTGTTTTGATTTCTGTTTTGGGAGGAAGGAGAGGGATGAGTTTTTTCCCAGCTCCTGAACACCCGCTCTTCTTTGTGCCACGGGCTGTGTGCGCTGGTACCCCTTGAAGAACAACCTTCCATGCCTGAGCAATGCACAGTTCAGTAACCACAGCCACAGGCTGCTTGCACCTCCTGTCGCTCCATGCCTCCCACCTGTAAACCCTGTGGAGGAGGGCAGCGGTCCTGGAATACCATCGAGTGCCCTTGGACACTGAACTCGTGTGTCCCAGTCATTGGCTTCCCCGGCCCAAAGGGTTTCATGGGGAAGGGCTGCAGGTTGGCAGCAGAGGGAGCTCGGTGCACAGTGTGGGGACCCGCTGCAGCCCGGGACTGGTGCTGCCTCCCCTCCACTGTCCTCTCCTCCCTTCCACTCCCATTCCCCTCCCTTTCACTCTGCTCCTCTCCGCTCGGTCACTATAAAAGCTCATTAAAAAGACCCCTGTGTATCAGAGCTTGGGTTCTGGGGGGGATCTACTGCACTGGGCTCTAGTACAGCCCGGGGGTGCAGAGCAGCTCCCTGGCCCCTGCTCCAGCCCTGGCTCCATACACCTGCAGCACAAGTTGAGTGGATTTGGCTGCTGCAGTTAGTGCCTGGGGAGTGCTGGCTCTGTCCACACCTTGCTCACAACTGTGGAGTTGACTTGAGGAGCTGGGGTGGGTCTGAGCTGGGCGAGTGGGAGGGAGAATGGCAGTGCCTGGGATGGGGGAAATCATGGGAATCATTTATCCCACTCAAGCCCATTCCAGGGTGAAAGCAGAGGCCAGAGCTATCCCAGTCCTGTGAACCACTGATGCTGGCATGAGCCTGCAAATGCCTCCTCTGCAGAGGCTCCAGTTTCTGCACTGTGGGAAGGGCCGGATGTGAAGGCTTCCCAGCTCCCATGGCTGGGCACAGGGATGCTTGTCAAAGCAAGTCCTCCACTGGTCATCCCGCTGCCCAGTGGGGGTCAACAGGGGCTCTGCCGTCCCGTGGTACCACGAGGGGCATTCCCCATCCTATGCAGCTCTGCTGCAGTTCTGGGGTTGCCTAACGCTCATGCTGGGGCTGGAGATGACTTTGTGTTCAGCCAGAGGGGAGGAGGACCCATGCAAGATGCAGGCAGGCATGTTCTCCTGCGCAGGAGCACCGAGCAGCCCGGGTCTCCATGGCCTGGGGTGGAGGTGGGTGCAGAGGGGACCTCATTATTGGGAAGCTGCTGCTCTGTGCAGCCCTGCTCGGGGGTTGGGTGTGGAAGGGATGTCAGGGGTCTCTGCTCCCTCCCTGCTGAGCCCCTGGGCTGCACTCAACCTCTTTTCCCAGCTCCTGCATCATCTTTTTGCTGCCCTCCAGCCTCAGCTGAAATAAGAGTGGAGAAGAAAGAGCTGTTGGCTTGGAAATGCTGCCGTGAGTGGGGCTGTCATCCCCTGGCAGGGGCTGGGACCCTCTGCGGGAAGGTGATGCTGGTTTGATCACAGCAGGGAGCTGAAACCCATCCCAACCAACCCAAAACCACAGGCAAGTGAGTCTGGGCAGCAGCAGGGGGGATCAGAAGTGGGAGCAGGAGCGGATGCGCAGGCACGGGCAGGCAGCGGGCGCTGCCACCGCTGCCGTGTGCCGTGTGGGCTGGTGTGGCAGCACGGGCTGCGAGCTGCGACGTGTGCCAGTGCCATCGCTGCCACCTCCTACAGCTTCCCCTTGCCAAAGCAGAGCTGGAGAGCACTGAAACCTGCTTGTCCCACATCCCTGGGCTGAGCAGGCTCTCGAATAAGCACATCCTTCCTCCTCCTGCTGCCAGGCTGTGTGTGGTGGCTGTGGTGCTGCTCCACGGCAGAGCTGCATTTCGGGGTGTAACATCCTTGCCTGTCCCTGCAGGCAGGTGTCTGGGGCAGGCAGAGTCCCTGCCCTGCGCAGCACGTACAGCAGCTCCTGCGCGAGGGGAGAGCGCTGCTCTGAGGTGCCGTACGTGCGATTTAGGCTCGTGAGGGAATGCTGCCCGCTGTTAAATGCTGTCTGAAGAGTGCAGTTCGCTGATAAACGATAGCACCGTGGAGCAGAAACCCCAGGCACGGTGTGGATGCAGTGACAAGCTGAGCCCGGCCCTGAGTTCAGGCAGGAGGGGATGGGGGAGTGGGTACCATGGAGGCAAAGCTCGCCTCTGTGCTCCAGCATCCGGACTCTGCACGTCCCACGCTGGTTCTTGCCATCTGCCCCCAGGACCAGGCTGTCTTCTCCTTGCAGGTCACCCTGTCGTTTTGTCCCTGGAGCCACCCCAGTCTGCGTTTCCCATTGCTGTCCCTGGAGCTGGGCTGTGCCCAGCAGCTCCTGCGCTGGCTCCCGGCTCTATGTGTCTTCATCCTGGGCTTTGGGGAAGCCTTTGCTTCCTCGGGTCCTCCCCACGTGCTGGAAGGGGCTCAAGATTTTAAAATAGGATCCTTTTGTTTCCCAGGGCGGCAACAATGGAAAGGTCCCACCGGTCCCACAGTCACCCTGTGTTTGTGATGGAAAATTCCCCGTCGTCGCGGGGGGAGCCCTCACCGCGGTCCTGCCGTTAGATGGCAGCATGGACGGGCTGGTTCTGGCCACCACCGCCTGCACGGTGCCACATTTGCACTGCAATGGACGCAGGATGCCAAAATCCCTTGACTTCGGGGCTGCCAGAGGATCCCCCTCCCTCCAAACCCAGGGCAGACCTTCCACTGTTCTCACACTCGGCTTCTCCAGTCAGTCGTTCGACTGTGCTTTGTCCAGCATCTCAGCAGTGTGACGTGGTTCATCCCTCCATCACTGCCCACACCTCACCTTGCTGCTCACCTCCCAAGTGCGCAATGACCCCATCGTGGGTACACTGACATGACAGGAAGCCCCACGGCTGCCCCATCTCTGGTCACAGCCCCCAGCACCAGGAAGGGGTCTGATCCCGCAATCTCAGCTCGTCACCGTGCAGTGATGGGCAGAGCTGCCCCTCTGTGCGGCCCCTCTGTGCAGTCCCCAGCCACCCCTGTCATCATAGCGAGTTTTAAAGTCTCTCCAGAAACTTGCAGGGTTTGGGCACTCACCTGGGATGGGGGAACACCACTGCTTCCTGCTCCTTTCCTCCTCCTTTGGGATCAAGGAGGAAGGTGGTCCGCAATGAGCGTGCTGAAGAGCAATGCAGTTGGCACTCTCAGGGTTAAAAACTCAGTAACAGGGCTGGGGAGTCAGGTAAAATAAACTCTGTGACTTGGAGCCCCTCTGAGAACCCTGGGAGAGGGATGGGGTGATTTCTTCCTTGGGCTTGGCAAGGAGAGCAGAGCACACAAGAAGTTTTCCTGCCTTTTCAAAGCTACGAGCACATGGTTCTCATTCAGGCTCTTTCTTTGCTGTCTGCGAGTGTGTACAATTAATAACCCTCCCGAGTGCACCGTGGGGCTGTGTTAATCCATCCACTCAGCACTCGCTGGGTGCACAGGCAGCTGGCCAGGGCTGTGCCCACTGTGCCGCCGCATTCCCAAAGCTCTGCCATCGCAGCACGTTCCCAGCTGGTTCGCACCGCGCCGGAGCCGCTGTCACCCATGGGGCTGCCCCCCTCTGCTGCCAGTGCCATGGGCCTGTGCATGG